GCGCGCGCAACCCTCTGCGGAGATCGTGCGTGTCGAGTGCGCGAAATGCAGGCGAGAGTGCGATTTGCCGGCTGTGCGCGCAACCCTCTGCGGAGATCGTGCGTGTCGAGTGCGCGAAATGCAGGCGAGAGTGCGATTTGCCGGCTGCGCGCGCAACCCTCTGCGGAGATCGTGCGTGTCGAGTGCGCGAAATGCAGGCGAGAGTGCGATTTGCCGGCTGTGCGCGCAACCCTCTGCGGAGATCGGGCGTGTCGATAGCCACGCAAAGACTTTGGCTGACAACAGGCAGTGGAAGCCAGCTTGCTGGCTGCCATTGTCCAGATGGAAAGCCAGCACGTTGGCTACCATCATAGTTGAAGTGGGTAAGCCAGCACGCTGGCTGCCATCATAGTTGAAGTGGGTAAGCCAGCACGCTGGCTGCCATTGTCCAGATGGCAAAGCCAGCACGCTGGCTGCCATCATAGTTGAAGTGGGTATGAGCCAGCACGCTGGCTACCATCATATAGTTGAAGTGGGTAAGCCAGCACGCTGGCTGCCATTGTCCAGATGGCAAAGCCAGCACGCCGGCTGCCATCATAGTTGAAGTGGGTATGAGCCGGCACGCTGGCTACCATCATAGTTGAAGTGGGTAAGCCAGCACGCTGGCTGCCATTATTGAGATGGCAAAGCCAGCACGCTGGCTACCATCATAGTTGAAGTGGGTAAGCCAGCACGCTGGCTGCCATTGTCCCCTTACCAGCAGCCCAAATGCTCACGACGATGAGCTGGGCTGTCACCGCTTGGCCGCCGGTGGGGGGTTTGGGAGGCCGCATCACACACAGACACCCACACACTCCCTCAACTTACACGAACACACACATACGCAGACTCATTTCCACACGGACATAGACACACGCACAGAAACCCACACACTACCTCAACTCACTCGACTTCACACTTCTCACTGCACACTTACCGGATTACTCGCACTCTGACTTCCTACGTGATGAAAAATGCTTTCGGGCCACTCGTCGTCTAGTTAAATCACGGATTCTGGCCTTGCCATATGATTTTTTTTAAACCCTAGAACCCCCTACAAAACAATTTGCATGGTCGTTCCACCGGACCCTCTGCTTTGGCAACGTTTTATCACTCAAATGGTCATCTGTGGGGTATTCCTGTTGAGGAACTCAACGAACCACCCTGTGGATGTTCAGTTCCACCAGTATGAATATCTTGGAAAATCCGTGTCCTAACCCTACACCTATTGTATATTGGTGTCTTCTTTGCGCCATTGAACCACCCCGGCCCTCCGCTCGGCTCCGCCATGCTCCACCTCCGCCACTTCTTTCGCTGCTAACTGCGCAGTGGCTGCGCGGCCCTGTCCTTAATAGGACGGTGCCAATGGTTGGTTCTCTTTGCGCAGGCCCTACCTCACGTTTTTTGGATGTTATTGAAGTATTGAGAGGTGGGGTTCAACGTCGAATTGGAGCCAAAGTAGATCCGAAATCCCTCTGACATCGCGGCGCAGCCGCAAGTAGTGATAGCTAGCTGTCATAGCTTCCATGAAGCAATGATGTCCTTTTTTGGGAATGACCTGAGAAGGGGGAAACGAAAGCAAACACGCAGGATACTTTTTCCGCTTTCCGCGCACGGCAATTGTCGCATGGAGATGGCTGAAGGCTGGGTCAGCTGTATTCGATGTTATCTGTGTATATCTGCACATAGTTCTTTCAACCATTTTCAGTAGGCTGCTGCAACTGGTGGGCCAACCTTCACTACCGTGGTGGATATGGTTGCCCAAGGCCCTGGTCTTCCTCTTGAGCTTCTTACTGGGTGAAAGGTGCATTTCTCTGCGCTAGTATTGGATTCAATGTAGCTGTGATTTTGTTCAAAACATGCAACATGGCACGACAAGTGAAAACCAAACAGCACAGCAATAATAGGAAACGGCAACTACGAGTAATACACTGCAGTATAGACACATAGTCAATTCAATCTCCTTCTTTTGGACGTGCTTTTTGGAGCCGCGTCGGATGATGACGCCCGCGAAGTCCTAAGAATCTACAGTGAGAAAAGGAACGTTGTGATTTCTGTCGCGCTGAACTGGATTTTGGTCCTTTTGAGTGTTTAGCTAGTTTGCCCCTCCATCTCGCAGCACGCTCGGCACCTGCAGCGGGTCAGGGCCACTTTAGACATTTAACTTTTCACACTTCAACTGGCCTACTGTTCCGCGTCGACCTCAAAGGTCACTGCCACCCTCCTTCTCTTGCGCAAGCAGCAGCTGAGGAAGCCCAATCAAGTCATTGTCAGATGTCATGATCATCGGTCGGTGTCAAATTCAAAACCCAATTAAAATACATTAGCGTCTTTCAACAAGTCAAGCCAGGAACGGAGAAGCAACTCTGGTGGGGTTGAAGGCGGTGGTCGACCAGGAGCAGGATCCGGAGGTGATCCAGATCCAAAGGCGGCGTGCGTGGCATCGGTGAGTCATCTGACTGGCATGAATTTCCAGGCACCATGCAAGGTCAGAGTCCAACAGCTTAAAGCTGAATTCATGCATGAAATGCCTATAGGTTCAAAACTCAATAATGACCCATGAACCCGTCAGTCGCGTCTAAAAGATGAGATCACCCACTGCCTGCCATTGTCGACGTTGTCAATGCTGAACTCGCTGCGGCTGCCATGTTTTGCTCCTGCAAGGCTGTGTGCTTTGAGCTGGGGGCCCGTCAAAATTAGTCAGTCAGGGTCTTCCAATGCAGACGCGGGTGGTGAAAAAGCTTCAGATGGCCGAGGCTGCGTGAACCAGTGATGCAAACATGCCCCGCCAACGACAAACCAGGATGATGCTCTCATGCCGTATCATACCCGGATAAACCGAGTGACATCCCTGAGGTCTGAGGAGCCGACCGTTTCCGCAGCGTGGCTTGACAGACACCGCTCGACACCCCATAAAATGGCTGCACGAATTAGGCTTCCCAGCCTAAAGGCTTCCCTGCTTGTTGGAGTTCACGGACGCTTCCCAGCCTTTGACCACGAGCAACCCCCCCAAGCCCCAAACCCACACATGGAGAATAACCCTGTGAACTTCATATCATGCGTTTCATTCAATGAGCCTGAATGCCCATTCTCAAATAGAATGATAGAATGAATATATGGCTGAGGCAGTGGTCTTGGGGAGTCATAGGACTAGTCTCCACAAGTGACTGGTACATGTTTTACATATGTGCGCATAGTTCTTTTTGCAACCTTCCGTGGGCCGCTGTAGCTCTTCCGGCTGGAACAACCTTCACTGCCATTTGGAAATGGCCCTCGGATGGAGGGGCCATTTGCTTGAATTGAATCCAGCTCCGTGGTTGAGATTCCGTCTGGCGCGCTCTGAGGTAAATGTAAGAAAGAACGGTGTGCCCAAGGCCCTGGTCTTCCTTTAGGGTTTTCTACTCCCCACTACTGCCTGCATTTAGCTTTTGCTGTTGGTGCCTTATCCGCGGCACTCGGGTTTTGTTGTCATTGGTTCATTCTCCGCGGCGTCTCCAAATTTCTGGCATGTTGAATCTAAAAACAAGGTACTAGCAATGGTTTCGAAAAATGATGGCGCTCGCCCCAAACTGGTAGAAGGCATACTATAAATGGATATCTATGTACATCGTATGTACATAGTCTTTTTCAGCCACATTCACACGTCAACAGACTGCCTTTGCACATCCCTCATGAAAATCACATGGAGGCGTCGGTCCTGGCCATTCTTTAGTGATTTGCTGGGGGACGATGAATGTCAGCTACCTAGGAAAAGAGGAACGCAGCCTCATGAGCAGTGTGTTTGGCATAATCTAGTGATATCATATCACTAAAAATGACCTGAAATTCCAAACACACCCTTGGACCTGTGTTTGGCGCGTCCTGCGTTTGGACCCACGTCTGCAATGTTCTAGCGGATGCTCTGGTGTCTGGACGTGTGCTTGTCAGTTTTGAGCGGATCCTGCTTTGATCCTGCTTTCTCCTACATCATCTATGTGATGCGAGGACTTCCAAAAGCAAACAAAGCATACAAAAGGCAAAAATTAAACAACAGCTGCAAAACTCCGTGATCCGCAGAGTTCATCAAGATCCCGCAACATTCTGAAAAGATTTACAACAGTAAAATGGAAAACATTAATGCTAGTGGGTGAAAATTCATGAGGAATCTCCCACATGCATTGAAAATAACCACCAACCCTTTCTAGAAAATGAGAAACACGACTCACATGCCTACGTATCCACATTTTCTAGTGGGTGAAATTCTTGAGAAATCTCCCACATTCCTTGAATATAACCCCAACCCTCTCTAGAAAATGAGAAACACGACTCACACGCCTACACATCCTCATTTTCTAGTGGGTGAAAATTCTTGAGGAATCTCCCACATGCATTGAAAATAACACAAATCCTCTCTAGAAGTTGAGAAACACGACTCACATGCCTACACATCCTCATTTTCTCGTAGGTGAAAATTCGTGAGGAATCTCCCACATGCCTTGAAAATAACCCCCAACCCTTTCTAGAAAAGGAGAAACACGACTCACACGCCTATATCCTCATTTTCTTGTGTGGAAATTCTTGAGGAATCCCCCACATTCCTCGAAATAACACCAACCCTTTCTAGAACATGAGAACCACGACTCACGTGCCTACGCATCCTCATTTTCTAGTGATTCCAGGGAGTGAAAATTCTTGAGCAATTTCTCACATGTCTTGAAAATATCATCAACCCACTTTAAAAAATGAGAAACACGACTCACATGCCTACGTATCCTCATCTTCTACTGGGTGACAATTCTTGAGGAATCTCCCACATGCCTTGAATATAACACCCAACCCTTTCTAGAAAATGAGAAACGCGACTCACATGCCTACATATCCTCATTTTCTAGTGGAGGAATCTCCCATTCCTCGAAATTAACACCAACCCTTTCTAGAAAATGAGAAACACGTCTCACATGCCTACGTATCCTCATTTTCTAGTGGGTGAAAATTCTTGAGCAATCTCTCACATGCCTTGAAAATAACTCAACCCTCTCTAGAAGTTGAGAAACACGACTCACATGCCTACGCGTCCTCATCTTCTAGTGGGTGCAAATTCTTGAGCGATCTCTCACATGCCTTGCAAATAACTCGAACCCTTTTTTAGAAAATGGGAAACACGACTCACACGCCTACGTATCCTCATTTTCTAGTGCGCTTTTATTATATAATCCAAGCCTTGTGCAAAAGAAAACGCTCACAAACGCTCGCGGCCTTGCTCCTAGTAGCGATGCCCGGGTTGCTAGTAGCGATGCCCTTTGTTACTAGTAGCTTCTTGCTAGTAGTAAGGCCAGGAGCTGGTAGTAGCATCCTTGCCCTTCGCAAAACATCGCTCCGCACTTGTGTCCACCCTTTCCCCATGATATTCACACTGAAAGCTAGGGGTGTGTCTGGAATATTCTGAATATCTGTCTTGAGTTTTCTGTTTCTAGGTCTTGAGGATTTAAAGTTTGTGTTCTTTTAACTTAAACTTAAACTCCAGGAACCTCACTAGAAAATGAGGCTCACGGTGGGATCAAGAAAACAAGGTGATGTCTAGAAAATGACCCTGCTTCTGATTTCCTGGTGACCTATAGGTCACTATAATGCATTACCTGACCCTTTCCCGGTGAGTTTACCTCCTTGAGACTAAAGAATGCCCGTTTTCTACAGACGTCAACCCCTTCCATTTTCTAGTCCGAATATCATGGGGGATCTTTGTACCAGCCATATGTACTACTCTCGGTTAGTAATGATGCTTGCGATGCGATACCTCCGTCACCTTGCAGACATCGATGCCCCTGGACACGAAGGTGCTCTTCATCCAAGCCACGATAGGCTCGCATGAAGGCTCTGGCCACATCCGTCTTCAGCCATTCCTTGCCACGCTGTGATCGAAACCCGAAGAAGTGTTGGTCAACTCGCGGTGCGCTGCCCCCACTTCTCATGTCCGTCCCAGAAACCCATCGTCAAACTTTATTTCAGATTCTCTTCGACTTAGTTAGGACCGCGAAACAGGCAACCAAGGGGTGGCAACTGTACACGGAGCGTGTGGCCACGAACGAGACCAGCTTATTGACCAAGATTCCCTCTTGGCATAAAGGGAGCCTGAGACGTGGCGACGTGGCGGAATCATTATGCACAACTGATGGTTTTTCGCACGACCTTTTGATCTGACTCTGGGTGTCCATCTCCAAACCCTCAAGAGTGCTTATCAAGTCAACACAGCTCTCTGTTTTGCGGAGAGTTGATAACGCCCGAGCTACAGCGTTATAAAAAGGTCTTTTCAACCGTTGAACTATCCTAGAAGCACCACACACACCCTCTCCTCTGGGCAAATGCAGGTGGGTTAACAGGTGGAGCAACCTTCACCAACCTTCGCTTCGCAACCGTTTTTTACTGCAATGCTATACTAGGGCCCCTGTTTCGGGATGTCCAAACACCACCCCGAAAAGAGGTGATTCGGGTGTCCATTCACCACCTTCGGCTGTGGGTCAGAACCAGGAAACTCTGGTTGACCACGAAAATGAACCGATTCCTCTGCAAGGGACGCCAACCTATCATGGTTTGGTAGGGGGAGGGTTTCACTCACAGCCATTTGTTTATATGTGTTTTGCTTCTGCACATTGACACCCCGTCCAAACTGTCACACGTGCACCAACGATAGTTGCGACTTGGAACTCGTGCGACATTGAAAACATCGACTTGCCACCGACTTGCCAACTTTTCTACATTTTTCCCTACATTGACAAGTACAGTACAGGGTGTTTCAACCGCTCACGCAACTAACGCTACCATGTTCTACCAACTCTCGGCTCTAAATCTCAGGATGGTGGCAAGGTTCCGCATGCATTGCATGGGGGCCCCGGTCTCCGACGACGAAATCACTCGCTGAGCTATGCGTTTCGGGATTGGGAGACGGAGATGAGAACATGAATGATGTGGTTGGCCACACGTCATTGTTCCAATGTTAGCATTGATGAATTCCTTCCAGGAACTGCCGCTCTGCAAGGCAAATCTGGGTTCGTGGTTTTTTCCCGAGGGTTTCCCCCCAGGAAACCGGAGCGTTCATCCCATGCAGCATCTTAGAGACGCAGGGCCCTCCTGGTGGCCTGAAAAGAAACGGAATTCGCAGCCTTTTGAATCTGCAACCACATTGAGTTGAACTCCCCCATCGCCACATCTCAAAAAATTATCCGACAACCGGAAAACTATAGGTCATGTTTGTGGATGGCTAGGGACATCGATCAAACCATCTTCCGTAACAATGTCAGGGAGCTAAAGGCGACTGGTCCAATCACATCGCCCATCGATGCAACCACCACACCTGCCAGGTCAGATTCTGCCGCTGCGCGGTGTTGAACACCGGTCACGCGGAACAACAGCGGCATCGGTGGTCGATCTCAAAAGGATGTGGGGCAGGCAATGGGCCAGGGCCGGCCAAGTCTGGCCAGGGCGAAAGCTTGAACGGCACATGAATTCTTCAACTGTTCGGCAAGATTTGAGAAGGGACATGAGCCACAACGAAGGGGACATATATATATATATGTATACATGGTTCAGCATGTTCAGCGAAAAACTATATTGCTGTGCAAACCAGTGGAACTGACTACGCCCCGGTACTTCCTGTGGAATCTTTTCGTGTTGACAAGTGCATTTTGACACAACAGAATCACCCCTGAAACGAAAGCCGACATCCGCACTTTCTGTTTAACTATACATGTGAAGCTATGGGGTTCACCTAGAATAACAAAAATAAAGAATATACAAAACATATATACATATACATATATCATATATCTATGGGCATGGCAAAAAACCCTGGTATAGATCGTTCCGTGCTGCAACGACAGTGATCCATACTGCATGGATCAAGGCCCTGGTCCCAACCCTATGGAACACGATGTATTTGCTCACTTGATCCAAGCCTCATCCACAAGTGAACCCTGACACAGTGGACTCAAAGCCCATGTCACAAGGATGCATGGAATGCCCAGGCAGTGCCTCATCCAGGAAAGTCAAGTTCACAATCAGGCGACACTCTCAATTTACTGGCTTCCGGTAAACCTTTTCATTGGGCTCGTGCACTTCGAGTTTTTTGGGCCCACCCAGAGTTGACACGCAGCTGGATCGAGCTCGCCACTCACTTTTCTGCCATCATCCGCTTAACTCGTAGTTTCCCGTAAGTTGAGCGCGCGCGCGCCCCGCTTTTCAGCCGGAAACAACAAACACAAGCCATCTTGTGAAGTCAGCCCACCAACTCTTGGCTTCGGTTAGATTTCAGGGGCCGCTCTCCATCAAAAGCGCCCTTAGTCTAATGGATAAAGCAATAGCCACGCAATCTTATTAAATAAGCCTTTGTTGGTTCGATTCTTCCCCGTGCTTGCCTTTGGATTCCTAAGGGACAGGGACACCCACCATTTCAGTCTTCAATTTAGCGGCTTCCGAGGCGTTGCTTTTAGAGCATTCTTTTTGTCGTCTTTTCCTTCTTGCTCCTGTCTTCTCTCTGCTTAATCTTTTTCCTGCTTGCTCTTCTTCTCCTCCTACTTCTGCCTTCTTTTGTTTGCTCCACGGACCACCTCTAGGAAAACCAAACCTGTGATTATCCAAGGTCTTGGATCACACACCGACCTTTTGATCCAACCCCATGGATCGAAGTATGGATCGTGTGTGGGTTTGGGTGTGTGGTCCAAGCCTTTTGTCTTTGGCCGCAGCCAAATATATATATATATATTGTATGTAATATGTAGAACTAAATCGTATGTATACAGTGGCAACAATGCGCGCAAGAAAAGGAACACCTGATGCGCTTCGACACGGGCGACGCTCTTCGATATTTTTTACGTGCTCTTCACTTGACAGTGCTGTGGTTGGTCAGTTTTTGGTAAGGAAATTGCAAAATTGTGGAATCCCCTGCGCCATGTCCGGCCTTTGCCCTCATATTCCAGCTTCTGGGCTGCAGGGCCCTGCAGGTGGACGAAATCACCTGGAACCCAGCAACGTTTCCCCACCCAGGCGCGGATGTTGTGGAAATCAGATGTCAAGAGCCTCTCAAAACCCGTCCCTTGCTAAGCTTGCCTAAAGCGCCAGTATTGGAGTGGGGGTAGGCGCAGTGAGGCTTAGCGCAGTGTAACATACTATTTAAACACTGTTCAGTTCAGTTCGGTTTAAATGATTTTGTGATGTCCCATCTTGTTTGGCGGGTTTGGTTCGCAGCCTCGTCCTTTGCGGAAGGTTTCTTCCATGTCATCTGGGCCGCCTCCAGTCTCAAAATTTGCAGCTGGCCACGCGCCACTGATTGTGACAAAACATCCTACGTTCCATGGTTCCATCGTGTTTGCAAAAACAAGGAGGAACTGCCTGCGTCAACCACCTTCATCTTTGAATAGTCCACATTCCTGATCAGCGGAAAGTGACATTGATCAACAATCAGTTCAAGATAGCCACGTCGTGGGTTTGCTCGCAAGTCTCGCCGTCTCTGACGAAAAATGACTTTAAAAGAGAACTTGGAAAGCGCTGGGGTGTTGGTCTTGTCTCACGACTGCAGCGTCTAGAGAACTGCGGTGCGACCTCTGCGCCAAGCATCTGCAAATGGCAGGCATATTTCATCAAGGCCAGAGGTTGAAAGAGATGATCCACCAGCACCTGCAGCGCGGGAAGATGGAGCGGCACAAAGTGTGTAGAATAAAAAACTGCGGTAAATAAAGCTCCCACCCGCAACTCATCCATGTAAACGGCCTGTGCCCGGAATCTGTCCAGAACTCTTGCAGGCTTGCTTTCATGGCACCTCCTTGTTCTCCAAGTCTCTCCACTGGAAATCTTTCGTGCGGCCTACGAGAAAGAAGCCGTCGCGCTCCTTAAAAGGCCGTGTCGGAAACTTGGATCAAGAAGCCGAAAACACTTTCCAGCGAATCTACGCATATTATACCTTCCCTCTGCTAGGCACAGCTGCCGGGCACGCATACAATGCATCTGTTAAAAGTCACTAGAGCAGCGCGTCAAAAAAACAGCTTGCGCGGTGAGAAACTTACACAGCGTCGCGCCTTCTGCATTCTGGAAAATGTGATAGAATGTGACACACACATACCTACCATGAATCAAACAAACGTGAATCGGAGTGTGGCAATGATGATCTTTCAGAGCAGCTGGTCGTCGAAGTCCTCACTTGACTATGTGATGTTTGACACCGTTTTTTGATCGATATATAGCCGATAGTCAATCCAAACTAGACTCGTTATCTGCTGTTTGCGCTGTCTTTGTAGGCGGATGGGCCCAATGATCCAAGCGCCACATTTGCCGCGTTTTGCAGTTGGAAAATGTTGGAAAGACCTGGAAACGTCTGAGCAGGGTCTGACATATTTTTGAACCCCTGTTGGATAATTGACTCCAGCTCAAAACAATCCAATGAGCTGCGTCCAGGTGACGACGGTGACGCTTTCGGCTGAACAGCCGCAAGTGAAGTCATAGCTATATAGCAGCCGTGGGACCCCCTGGACTGCCCACAGCCTGCATGAATGATTGAAACTATACAAGAAATATCTTGTCCAAAGCTAGGACGGTCATGTTCAACAGTCCACATGGCGAATCAGTTTTTTGGTTGCATGTTCCGTGCGATTCGATGGGTGGTTGTTATTTTGTTGTTTCACCCATCCGCCATTTGGACTTGTCTTCCACTTGGCATGTGTAAAACATATGTAGCCAACTTCAAAGCAACACATGGAGGCTCCGGACATGAAACGAAACATTCGTCCAAGGTGAACAGTTAATGGCTGGATCAGGCCCTGGCCAAGCAATAAGATCAACATAGTCATAGATCAACTGAAGCAAACCCAAAAGGATTGTCCACAACATTTCAGAGAAATCATGCGTGCCAGATCTTGCTGCGCTGACAAAGTATCTTCCACGAAAATGACAGCTTGCACATGTGCATGCTTTCTCTGGGGTGTTTTTTTCCAATCGCACAGCGCGATAAAACCACCAATGGCTGCCCGTCGCCAGAAACCACATCCATGCTACCAGTAGTATGGTTGGTCAGGGATGGTGATGCAAAAGTCTGCGTCAAGAAGGCAAAATCCTCTCTTCCGCACTCCTACTACAAATAATGTCACTGGGGCGCTACCGTTCCCACCTTCAAAGGTCCTTCAGGCCAAGCAGCATTGATCTGAGCGAAGTGCACCAGCGCCGTTTTCTCTGTCGACCTGGTTCAACCCCCAATGTTGCGGCCGCCAAGGCCAGGTTCATATCCTCACAAAAAGTGTGAACCTCACCGGTGTCTTGTTTTTTCCAACAACTTTGGTGGTGTTGGATCCACTAGCAGTATACATCATATTGCCCCAGCTGAAAATGCACACACTGGAAGTTAAATAAGTATAAGCATTATCAACAAATATCGTTACGACACTGCTCTATTCTAGAGTTGCACTACAATAAGTGTTACTTGAGTTTGTGAATAATGGTTACACAGTTACACATGGTTACACTATCACTATAGCTGCGAGTACTATCGTTATACTGCTACACAATGAGTGTATAAAATTGTGGTTGCATGCCCTTATATTGTTGCACTGGAAGTTGCATCGTGGACGCTATTCTATCTCATTGTCCGATTGTCCGATCTCATGTGTTGGCATTTGGCCACACATGCCCTGGGCACACCATACTTTTGTGAAACAAAAAGGCTGAAGAGCTAAGAGCGGATATTCTTACCTTCGACGCTCCAAAAGGGAATCAAGCTGCCGCTTGCTTTCTCCGATGGGACCACGCTCCTCTTGCGCTCACTGGGAACGGATCTTGGCCATGAGCGACGTGGCCGCACCGTTTGCTCCAGTGAGCGCTCAACCGCAAGGAGACGGAGGAAGGGGGGAATCCCAATGCTCTCCTTGTAGGCCTTCCTCGGCCGAGGAAGAAGAGCAAGGGCGTCCAGGACTTGATCCAAAATGGCACCGCGTCAGGCCGGTTTTCGAACATCCACTTTAGCACACGCTACTCACGCGCAAGTCGTGTTCCTTGTTTGCTTTGCAAAGCTTCGTGAGGTGGGAGTTGTGGACCAAAAACAGGTCAAAAAGTACATTCTTCATGAGATAGGACATCGATTCTTGGAGAACGTCCGACAAATCCTAAGTCACTGGTGAGACGTTTCTGATCGTTTCTGACTTAGCTACCACGTCTGATGTTGACAGCAACGCGTAGAAACACCAATGACCCCAAATCCTTGCAAATCTCCAAAACAAGAAGGCTGGCCACCTGCAGCAGCACAGTGCCCACCACACTCGCAGATTGATCAGGCAAACCACGGAAAGCCAACACAAGCCGCCAAATGCCAACAGAAGCAACGAAAAGCCAACAGAAGCCACCAAAAGTCAACAAAAGCAACCAAAAGCCAATCAAAACTCAACAAAGGCCGCCAAAATTAGTCCAACAGCTGGTTTTCCTTGCAGTGCTTCTTCAGCACCCTGTTACGCTTGTTCAGCGCACTGTTGCGCTTGGTCAGCGCATGTCAGTGCCAGGTTGCGTCATGTACAAAGTGGCTTGCGCGTCTTGCAAAGCATTGCATTGATCAGTGCAGATCGTGAGTGGAGGCTCTGACTGTTGAAAATGCGCCTCAGGTCATCAGAGTGCGAGGAAAGCAGGGTTCTTCGAAACCAAGTCCTTGAAAATCTTGATGGCTGCTAGCACCTGCACAGCGCCGGCGCTTCTGCGGAAAGATTCGAAAAAGCCTTGAGCTTCCCAATGGCCAGTATCCGGTGCATGACCTGCGCAAGGAAGCTCAGAGCTGTTTGCAGTTCTTTCAACCTCCACTTCTCAAGTTTCGCGATCATAGAGGACAAATCCGCTGATCCCTCTTCTGCAGTCTGAAATGTCGCCTCCAAAGCTTCCAGCCATGATTGTGTAGTTTTGCCCTCAACTGCTTATACGTTTGCCAGTCATGTTCAAGCGCTCTTCACGGCAGGCGGCAAAGAGTAGAATGGCTTTTGCGATGGGACGAGGAATCTCTCAAAAAGGAAAGCGTGTCTTGTTCCCGAAGGGAAGGTCCGGCTGCGGCTAGAAGCATGATTTCCTTCGCGTTGAACAGTAAACATTGGTAAACTACTGTTCATATAATATACAGGTGCAGTTCAAAACACGATGCCAGGATGGCGCATGCGCACACGTTCATGCCAATTGTTTTCTAACTAACTCTCACAATCTCTCACACATGTTTCTTTCGCCTACGCGCGACCCTTCTCAAACACTTCATGCATGGCGATAGGAGTGGTTTCATGGGTCAATGTAGGTCTATAAATATACATATTCAATACATGGGGTATTGAAAAACCCTTGTCTTTTGCAATACCTCGAAATCATGTTATCGTCTCTTTTACTCTTATCGTTTTCTCAGGTGTTGGGCTCTTTGCACACCAAAACTGTCAAATTAGCAGGTTTCCATGCATGTGAAAGCATCTTTGGTGGTCCTACTTCAGGATCCCGAAGAACTGCCTGCACCAAGGCGTACACGGTCTTTGGTGGTAAATAATAAATGGCACTAGCAAAGATCAGATATAAACAGCTAAACAAGACTACCGCGCCGCACACTCCTGCCCTCGAAAAGGTCTAATGAAAACAGTCAAATGGGTACTTGCCCACCAGGGGTGTTTTCTGCTACATTTCCTTATCGTTTTTGTTATCGTCTTTTTATCGTTCCGGACATCTCTGCAGGTTGCCATTCTCGTGGTTCATGTACTGGCAAACTATGAACATATCTGGTCACCCCTCGACCACACAAGATGGCTGGAGCATATGGGCCAAACAGCCCAGCCAGATTGATTTGAAAGCTAGGTTCTCACCTCTTCCTTCAGCAGGGGGGAGTGTAGGAGGAGGATAGTCAACTCTTCCATTACATTACCTAATCATTATATATCTATCTATTGTCAATGGGACAGATGGAAACCCATGTCATGGAGTGTCTGGGTTTTGAGATCTGATCAAAGAAAACAAATCCGTCACTGAGTCACTGACCCAAAACAAAACACAGATCGATCGGTGTGTCACCGACGCGCCTTTCGAGCTCGGCAAAGGAAGCGGCCACGGCCAGTTGGCAAAGATCTGCTTGGCCAGACTTCACCTGCGCGGCTAATAATTATGTGCACATGGCAGTGTATGGGTTGCCTTATGGTTCTTGGGTGGAAGTTGTGAAAATGCTAGACCCCTGCCCCGTACCGTATTGGGAGCCCTTGGGAAAGCCAGGAAGGTGAGAACATGAATCAGCCCTTTTCCGGGGAAGGTTAGTTCATTAAGGTGCAACCCACATAGGTCAATGGCAAACATGATTGAGAACAACAAGTTACAGGTCCCTGAGCCCTATAATGTTGACGGTTGATTCATAAGCTGGAGAAGCCTCCCAAGGCTGGAGATGTAGAACTCTCCTGGCATGGATGGGTGTTGCTCATCAACAAACATAATATACTCTTTGAGCCACAAGTCTCTGCCTCGCTTCATCGACAAACCTCCATCCCCACCACCTGCTCCACGGCGGGTGTCGTACTGGGCGTCTGTGGGGCGTACTGGGCTTGGAGACCCTCCTTTTCAAGCAAGCCGCTGCGGATCGTGTACCTGAGTGGCGACAGAAGAAAACATGTGAACACCCACCCAGAAGCGGGACTTTCTGAGACAGTCAAGAATCATGCACAAACTGGTTGCCCTGCTGGAGCGAAGTTCTGCCTGTCAAACTCTCTGACCCAAAAGCACTTGAATTGACCCATGCAAGTCGGGCGGCGAAGGCCAAAAATGGCATCAAATTGAGATCCTCTTTTGAGTGGTCATGAAAGAGTCCAAATCTAGCATCAACTTGAAAGACCCTTTCTTGCCTTTTCTTCTCCTTTCATGTCCCTCGTTCTTTTTTTTCACACCATGTAGTGATGCCATCCGTTCGCCAGTTCATGTCTCCTGTCAGCAACTTCTCAACACGCGGGGAGCTTCCTTGAAGAAATGTGAACTATGCTGCATCCTAGCTAGTAGCAGCAGGTTACCTAGTAGATCCTAGTAGCTTTGCTTAGCCCTTTAGGCAGTAGGCGCCAACTTAATTAACTGAGGGCGGGCAAAAAAGACAGAACGAGGTGTTTGATCCACAAGAAGTTCCATCCAACGTGGCTGGGGGGGTCTCCCTTTTGCAATACACACCCATATCATCTGCCCCACATGGCTGTCGGTTGACCTCCTGTCGGTCGTCCATTCTGTTCATTAAACCCGTGGTGGTCCACCAGGGTTCACAGGTTTTAGACCCACAGCTATACAGTATATATGGGGTACATCCCATTACCGGTAACAGTGGATGATGATGGTTAGTAAAGGCGTTTCATCCTATTACCAGTGATAACCTTTTTACTGACTGACCGTTACTGGTAATGGGCTACACCCTAGCCGTATATCATTCTCCCTTCTCAAAGGTGCCGGGTCGCAGCAAGGGCGAGTAAAAGGCCGAGTGCCGCAGGGCGGTCACGGCGATCGGCGTCAGCGACATGGGCGTGAGCGTGTCGTTGGTGGTGTCAGTCAGGTGGATGGAGAGTAGATGGCACAAGTTACCCCAAGTCAAAGGTGGTTTATATGGACCCCCAGCTTAAAGACATGTAGGGGTGCCAGTGCCATCGAACCTCTGACATCGCTGTAAAAGGTGGAGCCAACAAATACAGCGGACACCTCTTCATATGGCTGGCTGGCAAAACATCGAGTACCATCCAAGCCCACTGGTGAGAGGACCAATCGGCCAAAACCTGCAGGTATTCCTGGAACGATGGAGTCTTGGACACCTGAATGCCACAACATTCCTGCATCTTGGACGTGTAAACATGAGTGTACCCAAACAAGCCTGTGCCTCAACCAGCTATGGAACGGGAATAATTTATGCTGTTCGAAGGCCTGGAAATACTAGAAATTAATGCTAGTTATATCTAAAATTATCCTCATATATACTCGGAGTTGGAGGATCTTGAGCTGGAAGACGCTGTGATTCATGCAGCGTAGACACCGACCCTTAGTCGCTGGACGCCTGGTTGAAAGCTGGGATGCCCTTTTGGCTCGTGGATCAACCATGATAAACCTCGTGCTTCCGCTCAGTTTTCTTCGGCTCCAAGCCAAACAGCTGCAGCGCCGGAGGTCAAGGGATCAGCGGTTTCGTTGGGGCCAAATGAACCTCCATGGAACGTGACTCCCCTCACGTTCCGCTTGAAGAACAACCAATCCATGTCCTGCAAGAAAACAACGGAACCCACCCAAGACCGCAGTTCCTTGATGTTCCAAGACTAGCACTTAACCACGGAGATGGTTAAGGTAACCAGGTCGTGGTTAAAGTAACCAGGTCGTGGTTAAATGCTAGTTCCTTGATGTTCCAAATCTGTTTCCTTGTTGGGATGGAAACCTTCCCATTGCTGCTCCATCCGGGCCGGGCTCCCAGGCTGAAGAGCGTCGAGACCAGTCGCATTGTAGGCCACGAAGCCAGTGGCTGCACCTATGACCTGCCGCGTGCAGCGTCGCAAAGGCCGGCAGGGCCCAGCCAGCTGGGGCTGTCGGCAGTTTTCTGATGTAACGATTGATAACCCCCCCTGCCAGAATGGCTTTACATTATAGGGAGTCTTATTGATCAGACAGTACATTACTTCCAAACTCATAGGTGACTCGTGATCGTGTCGTTGATTGAGGTTCCCTTTGAGAAGCAAAAAGGATGCCACTGCTGTTTTCGACAGTTCCACTCCGAAGTCTGTGATTCCAAACTGACATCACTGAGGCATCTCCCAAACACAAGTGTCACATACTCAGAAGCTCCGTGTATGGAATATATATGAATATATGCCTACATTGACCCCTGAAACTACCCCAATGTCAGTAAATGTATTTTACACGGAGTGTCATGTATTAATAATATATATATATATTTGTAACAGGGTGGTTGTTCACATGATCTTTTGAACAACGCTTTTTGGAGTTGAAACATTCAGAAAGTTGATTAACATGTTAAAGGAACTGTGAGTTGAAACATTCCAAACGTTGATGCACGTTAAAACTTAGAATGTTAAGATGTTAAAGGAACCGAGTATATATATATACATAAGTTTAGTATAAATTCAGTATATATATATATGCGTTATACAATGTAAAATAACTATATATACTATACTCAGCAGCTGGCCCCGATCCCTCAAATCCAGATCGGACAAATACTGACTGGAGTTTGAGGACCGAAGGAGACCAAATCGAACCAACCCGACCCCATACATGCACGGCCACTGCGCCAGCAATGCGTATGACGACCGATCAGTCCAGAGGTGGTGGATTTCAGGCTGAAAAACATTAGTAGCTCCGGGAATTGCTACTAGTAACTAAAGCGACTGGGTTGGAGGCCATCGCTATTCAGGTGGAGGCCATTACTACTACTACTACTGCTACTACTACTACTACTACTACTCCTACTGCTGCTACTACTGCTACTGCTACTGCTACTGCTACTGCTACTGCTACTGCTACTGCTACTACTGCTACTGCTACTGCTACTCCTCCTACTCCTACTCCTACTCCTACTCCTACTCCTACTACTACTACTACTATTACGTATTAACAAGAAGCTACTACCCTATTGGGTTGGAAGCCATCGCTACTAGGAGCAAGGACGTTCCGGGGCGGCATTTTGACGCCAGTTCGCTTCACGAAGCAGGACCAGGCCTTCGGCCTTCGCGCGCTCGGACGGTCCCCAAGTGAGAAACAGCCCCAAACGGTGGCCCCTGGTATGTGAAACGTCACAGTGAGCGTTGAAGGTGTCACGGAACCCGCACGCATCGGGTTTGCATCGGGTTCGCTGCCTGGAAGATAGCACGGAGCTGCAGCTGCAATGGGCTCAAGGCCACGTGTTGTGAGACATTCACCTTGTAGCCTGACCGCGATGGGGGCGCGTAATCTGTGTTGATGGCTTCAGTCAAGGGTGCTGAACATCGACCCCCCCTGATTTATTTTAACTATAGCATCTCCGATAAAAGCATCCAGCTTTCTTCGTTCCGTCGGGCCAAGATCTTTCAGCCTCCAAGCATCAAGGTGGCCACATTGTCAGGCAGAAGCAAAGCTGTCTTCGCCTCGGCATTGGCGGTTTGCGCGCGCATTTTTTCTCTCTATAACCGTTGGGGGGGATGGTGCGAGCCGAAGCCTACTGGGCAGCCTCGCACCCCTGGGATCTCTGGCATGAAGCTAAGGCTTCAACCGGACCTGCTTTGTTTGATGAGGAGCCAAGCATCAAGGGGCGCGTTTGTGATGAAGCAAAGTGTTTCATCATCAGATTTGAGGCACGGCCTTAGCGTAAGAACATTTTTAAGATAGTTCTCAACAACTCACTTTGCAGTTCTCGAGAATACTGATTGGTTACAGTTGTTATTCTGATTACATAATGGTTCCCAACCCCCCAAAACGCATCTAGAGCTTCGTATCGTCGATCCCGATCGCAGTCACTGATGCCCTTCAATCCCAAGAGCACCAACTGCTGAGAAGGTGATTAGGGTACGTAGGATTGGGATAGGTTGGAAGGTCGGTCGCTACCTTTTGAGGCGTTGGGTGGTTCATGACCGTTTGAGGTTCCTCGGTCCGGTCGCCCGCCCGGAAAACCCCGTGCGCGCCCTTCTTCCAAGTGTCCGCTAGGGTCACCCTGGGAGCCAAAGCACCTGCCCGCTTTGCGAAAAAAAGCACACGGTGCGACAGTTAATTTTATGTCTTAACAATAGATAGAAGAGTATAATGACAATATTGTGATCTTTGCCATGGGCCTGGAGGTTTTATGTCGGTGACCAACAGTCTAAACAGCTCAACAATTCACCATATTCATCCAAATTCCACACCCTCAGTGCCCTCTCTGGTGGCACGATTTCAGCACACCTTTTTCACAGGGGGCCAGTGGCCGCATTACAACGACGGCACAGAAACGACCGCCAAAACGGGCATTCGCAGTTCCACATGCAGTGCGGTTCGCTGCGTCTTCAGCAAACCGACTGGGCGACAGATGGGAGCTTCGTCGCCAGGGCCAATTCGGTATGCAGCAAGGTGTCATGGCCATGGAGGGTTGTGTCAGGCAGTGACTCAGTCTGCAACACTGCGCAGTATGGATTGATCAACAAAAACACATTGTTGTTGTTGGTTCTTTTACTGCGCAGTATGAGTTGATTGATCATACGACATTAATATTAAATCTACAGACTGAGCTCCTTCCCCCCTTGGTCGCAGGCCGATCGCTTCTTTGCAGGGCTCTTTTCGTACCACAGCTAGGTGCGAAAACAGTTAGGTGGTGCTCCAAACGAAGACTTGGATTTGCAGTCCACTTTGACGACCGGAAAATCTGTGAGTTTACAGTAGTTACACTCCCCTGAAACCGTCAGTCATGGAAGTGGACCATAGCCCTTTTTCGCGGAGGGTTTACCCTCCACAATGGCGAGTTCAAAAACCCAAACGCTCCATGGGACTGCCATATATGCCTTCATTGACCCCCCCAACAACCCCAATGTAGGCATATATATGCCGGTCCCATTAGTCGTGTCTGGGAAATAGGAATGGAACTGACGCGAGAGATCTGTGGTCCTCGGAATCGTTCTATCCAGATCACCTCAAAGAGATTGAAGAGCTTGACATGGGTGTTTCGATAGAACAGAATAGCTATAGTGGATTGAGAGTAGATGGCAGGGAACCAAGAGGTGGCTTAGATGGACCCAGATCTGTCTGAGACATCTTGGGGTGCCAGTGCCATCTGCTCTAAAGGTAGAGTTATCATGAGTTATCTAAATCATGGGGCTCATTTGGCTCAGATTCCGTCCACTCCACCGAGAGGAGCATGCTGGAACCTTTGGTGCTTTTTGCGTTTCTTTGTTCGTTCACATTTGCAACATCATCTGGGAGCTTTGGCATTTTGCTGTTTCGGCCAGCGCGGGCTCCAATGGGCTCCAATGGGGTGAGACATCGACGCTGGCAGTGAGACACCGGGCTCCTGGGCGCATGCGGCGCGCATGGGCGCGCAGGAAAAGGGCAGGAACTCCAGATCCAAAAAGGAACGTAGAAGCCTTACGTCACCAACAAAAGCTGACCAATCTGACCAACTCCAACCACCATCTGACAATCCTGAATGGTGGATGGCCGTAGCTGTTGCATTTTTTTCAGTTCCACTTTCATTCCACGTACTACTTCGGATCCCACGGGTGTGGGTAAGCCGGAGCCAGTGATAGGGCCCAGGCTCGATCGAACAGTGACCAGCACCAGCCAGTTTGGAGGGGAAATCGTCAGGGAGGTCAAAAAACCCAACCTGAGTGGTGCTGGGATGGGATGGATATAAGTTGATATAAGTTATAATAAGTATTAATAAGTCATTTATAAATATCTGCCAGGCTACTATGGGGTGGTCTATTGACAGTTCCGAAAAGATTTATATAAGGGGTGTCCATTAACCGCCCCGACTCTGGACCTGGCAAAGGATTCCCATGGTTAAACATACCGGTCGATAGAGTCCGCATGAGTCTGCCATGGAAACACAGTGTTTACACGAAATTTTAGCTTCGAGGTTTCCAGCTGTAGGATTTCTTCCATCAAGACTGAGGCACCCAAAACGCCAAAAGCCAAGAGATGTTTGTCATGGTTTGTCTGCCAAGAGTCTGGTTCGAGTTGGCCCCCCCAAAAAGGGGTCCGCACAGATCCACCCCTGGACCCCAGATCCACCTCATTCCACCTCATCTGAAGCGAGTCGATCAACCTCGCCGAGTCCTCATTGTCCAGCTGCAGCGGGCGCGGCCTGAGCCTGTGCCTGGCCTTGTGCCTTCTGGGCCACCTGGCGAGGCAGGGTCTCAGCCGAAGAGGGCGGGTTCACGGAGCATCTTCAAAAGGGTGGTGCGTGGTAAATGGCAAATGCCACGCGTCTTGAAAGGCTCCCAAGAAAAATGAGTTTTGTTGGGAAGGAACTCCAAAAGAACATGTTATGTACAGGAGATAAGGCCAAGAGTAGAAAGGGATTAGAAAACAAAACAATGAACTAAAGGAATCCAATGAATCAAGGTTTGTTTTATCCCTGGCAGGGTGGCTGCTTGTCCAAGGTCTTACTATAATATAAATCTGTCGGGGAATTACCACTACTGATCTATTGTGGGACGTGGGGTCGGAGTCACCAGTTGTGGAAGGGATTGGATCCCCACGTGAACCTTAAGAAGTGAGTATATGGAAGCATTGTAAGCACATGGTAGACGTAGGTACAGGGAAGATTCACAAGCAACATCAAGCAACGTATATACTACGAGTAGTTGGGAGAACCCCCAGTTCGATCATGTTTACATCACGGCCAAGGTGAAGGTCCCTCAATATCAAATCTCAAAAGCTCAAATCATTTCCAACAAACTCCTCATACTCTCACAGCAACCCGCAAAATCAATATTTGAAGATGATGATCCCTTCTTCCAAAGGTCGCTGCACTTTCCGTGTGGGGATCTTCAAAGGAATCCCCCTTTCACTTTTCCATCTGCGTGCTCCCGTATGAGTGTGACAACCGTGGGGGGCCCCGGTGGGGTGCTCTGGATCTCGGGATAAGCTCAAAGAAACTTAGTTGGATGGGCTCAAAATAAGTGGCTCCCAAGAAGGAACTGTATCAATCCAGTCAACCTGCATGTCAATGTCTATCTTTCGTCTCTAGCCAATAAACAATAGGATACACAATATGTTTTTCTCCTGGGCATTTCTGAATTTCTCTGGCACACCCGGAAGGCCCCAGGTGATGCCCGGAAGGCCCTGGAAAGATTCCAAAAGGATCCAAAAGCTGCAGCTAAGGAGAAGAACAACACCTCCTAGGCCACATCCCCAACCGGTCACTTGGATGAAGCATGAAGAAGCCAAGCTATGCCAAGCTATGCGCACTCGCAACTCAGACAATTTAAAAGGCTCAGCACTCTCTGTCGAATCCTGTTCTCTTAATGCCGGAGCCACTGGGAGGAAGAGCTTGAACTCCGGAGGCAGCTCCTCCTCGCTATAGAGCCGATCGCTGAAGTAGATTCGCCGGATGCCTGGACGGAGTCGGGCCGATCGGAGTCCAACTTGTCGGGTTCGTGTCGCACCAGGGATCCAACCTCACCAACAGCAAACAGGTGACAGGCCGTGCGAGGCCATAGTAGCCATGAATGTGGCCAGGAATTTTCTACCATAAGGCTTAAGGGCCTCGGGGATTCCTATGGTTTTACAGTAAGGCAAGCATATCAACTAATAGTTTTATTAAGTTACCAGGGGCCAACCTCGTAAACAACTATCTGACGTGCCACCTCTGGCACATAGTAAAATTGTCAAACCAAGCTCTTAAGCCTCGAAGTTAAGATTGTTACAGTACCTGGCCCTCAAACTCAATAAAGTTCATATGTTCTTATGGAGAAAGTTGCCCCTAGCTCCTGATTTGTTTTAGACCCGTAGCAACCCAAAAATAGTTACTCTTGCTATCTCGGGTTCACCTCCGTAGATGGCTTCCCTTGAGGGCATGTGCTAGCTGAGTATCCGGTTCCCCTGCATACAGAAAGGGTGCTGGGACTTGAGTCCAGTCTGGTGGTTTCTCTTTTGCTCGTCAAATACCTCGAATCTGACATCAGTGATCGAATTGCTTGCGACAATTGTTTGGGCCACAGGTGGGTTCATGAAACCACTACAGTGTCACTACAGTATATTACCTCTGGCGTTGCTTCCGCGGGCAGCTGGAAGACCGGTTGAAAGGACTTGCCTTTGTGGAGTCGTAGGAACTTGTCCTGGCGACTAAGGTATATGGCTCAGGCTCCCTCCCTGTTCATTCGCTAAGCCACGGCAGTTGGCATGGAGCTGCACACGCAAAGTCTCGATGTAGTTCGTCCCATACGCGCGGCGGGTGAAATCCGACAAGTTGAACTGAATCCTCAGTGCGCTCGCGGAGTCCGTGGGGATGTTGAGGTTTTTTCCCTCAAAAGCTCAGTCCTGATTTCCTCGGTCGATGGTCGCACCCCGGGTCCTAAACTTGCGAAAAGGCCCATGAATTCGGGCCGTTTCGAACGTCTTTCATGGTGTACCGAGTGAAGCCGCTGGTCCAACCACACGAGGTGTGTCCTCGAACGCCTCGCGAGCACGTGGACCCACGCCACGTCCAAACAACGCGGCTTTCCAAGCGAGGCACTGATTCCATCCTGCAGGAGCGACGGCACGGTGCCCCCCACCGGGTGGCCACGGCGAGAACGTGCCGGTCCGAACGTGAGTATCTGAGTACCTGGACGTCCTGAACCCTCCTGTCGGGGTGCCCAATGGAGATTCAGAAGTGGTGTAGGGCTTCCGTTGGTGAAGGAAGGTGCTGGTACATAGCAAAGCAACACAAATTATTCATATATCATAGCTATTCAAGGAATCATGCAATCAATATCAATCAATATACTGTAGTTGGATTGCCGTTGGCTCTCCCGGCCTGGCTATGCATGCCGACAATGTTATACATTCTGTTATTGTCACCTCCAGGATATTCTGTAGATAACTTATTCTCTGGAAAGCTACTACTCTTCAGGATAATACATCAACCGGCAAACTCCAAGAATGACTGTGTTCCGACGGGCTCTAAGCAGTTTGCTTTTCGCGGATGAACTGATTTCGCAAGCTTTTGCAAGCTTTCGCGCATGAAAAGCTCGCAAAATCTTTCGCGGCTGCATGTTTAGCTTTCGCAAAGGCATCATCATATTAACCTCTCTTCAAATTGCTATAGTTGGGAAGTTTTCACCGCTGCTCATCTGCGCATGGGAGCCATGGTCGAAATATGTCAAAACTGGGATTGGTGGCGAGCAGCTGCACAGATTTATGGCAAATGATGCATGGCATCCTGAAAAGTTTCCTATCTTTCATCAATGTGTCGAAACACTAAGGCTTTGAGCACCTTTGAGCATCTTTGAGCCCTAGTTCTTCTCTCTCACTTCGATATCTTTGAATTCCTGGCGGCCCGTGGTGCCTCTGACTCCATGGTGGCTCTGATCGGCGGCAAAATCGGGAGAAAGCTGGGATCAAGGAGAGGAACACCCCCAGTCGGTCGCCGTTCTGAACAGGTCATATAATAAAGATCCACCACGGACGTGAAGATTCCACCGAAACGACTGGGGAGTCATCCAAAGGAGGAGTCATCCCAAAAAATGCCCTCCAGACAGTCCGAATGTCTCCCAGTCAACGAAAGGAACCCCCTGCGGGAACGCCTCCGCGCGCGAACCGCCGCGTTCCAGCCTTCATCTAGTCGCATGGGCATGGTACAAATGAAGGGCTTCACCCTGGCGAGGACGCTTTTTTTTGATCTTCTTTTCAGGAGCGCGAAGCAAGGAGCACCACATGCCTTTCGATCCACATATATGATGATGCCCGCACATCTGGGGCCGCGGGGCCTTTGGTCAAAGGCAAAGGCAAAGCTACTTGGTAGGTTTGTCCACCGTTTCACTCAGTAGGTGTGGAACTGTGAACTCCTCACGAAGACTTCACCCCCACCGTCCACCAAAAAGCCAACTCATTCAAGAACTGGTCCAAGTTCACCCAAAAGTCATGCGTCCTCTCAAGAGCTCGATGCGTCCCTCCACCCTCTGGAGGTCAACCAAGAGGTCGACCAACCCGCTCCCAAACTCTGCGGAGCGGACGGAACGGCCTGGTGGTGCTCTGGTAGTTGGAGGCTCGGAAGCGCCGGCGGACCTCCTTGTCGTCCAGAACCGTGACCTGCGGACGGGAAGGAAGGAACATCGACCAGAACCTGTTGGTGCGGGGGAGGGGTCTGCATGTAAAATACAAGCCCATATTTAGCAAAGACTCCATTTGGTGGGAGTTGTTCACTGTTCGCTGTTAAAAACTATACAAACCCATAACCCATAATCAATCCTATAATCCCAAAGACTCCATGCTCCACTGAGTCTTTCTCAACACCTGGTATCCCTGGCCTCAAAGGTGAAGTACTTCTTCAGGTTCTTGATGATCATGACCTCTGAACAGTCGGCATGCCAAAGATCACTGACATGCCGAGCTCTTCTGACATCCTGTTTTGATGAGATCAAATCGGAATGATGAAACACCGAACCAACGGGGCGGTAGTCTACTTTTCCCGTTGGCCAGGGGGGTGTGAGGGATCCCGATAGCCTAGATAAAACCAACATGTCTGGGAAAAGCAAAACAGCTGTTGCCATTTAAGATCTTTTGAGACTTCCGGTTGACATCCTGGGAAGTCCAGGAATGCTCGTGACATCCTGTATTTCTGCGCTTCCATCCTGTGGAAGCACTCCACGATCTAGCAGCAATGGTGAAACCCTCATGAGAGCTTGTGAGCAAACCAGTTTTTGACGTGTCACCATGTGTCATCATATATTGACCATTGTCTGAAGTCATGGGAAGATCATTCAGTCCAACCTGGAGTGCAGCATTCGTAGTCACATGGGTGGGCAAAGTACAACGAGCACGGCTGCCGAGGTGCCAAGAAGGGGAGTTTGATTCCCAGTGTCTTCGCAGGATCCGACGGGCATGTGATGTACGTTGTGCTCACATTGGTCCCCATGATCTCCTGCACGAGATTGGAATATCACTTCTTGAAATGGAACCGGCTTTGCCAGGAACAAAGTGCCACTTGGAGGGCTCTATGACCTAAAACGAGAACCTTCAGCCTTGCTCATCGAAGGGGTCAGCATCCTTTGAAGCCGGATGAAGCCGGTCTGGAGAATTTCTGGGAACACCCCCCGGTCTGGGGCCGGCGTCTGAGCAAGCGGCAGATCCTCAGATCGCCGTCTGAGCGACTCCACTCTTGGACTCCCAAGGTTTGGATTTTCAACAAGACTTGCCAGACTAGTGAGCTATAGTATAGTGAGATGACAGCTCAAATATGATTTTGGGTTCTGTCCCAGAGGACTCCAAACATATTAGGTCGTTGCTTTTTCTCTGGAGGACTCCAGAACATCCTTAGGATAGTTGGTTGGCATCGAACCAATGTCACACCAAGCGAAGAAAACCAAGCTCTGCCACATGTTCCGTGAGCGCCTGCCAAAGCGGGTGGGCTATCAACGTGTGAAGCTTCCAACCTTCTTGTTTAGCAGGGGTGGCCTAAATATTTTTGCAAACATGTCACTAACGGGGGTGTTCTCCACAGCTTAAACCTGTTAGGTGTCCGTGTGTATCCTATGTGCCCACAGGCTTGGATCACTTTTCAGCTGACCCATCACCAAGGACCATTCACTCTCAACTACTGCCATCCTTCAGGTCTAGTGTTAAACGTCATCGAATAAGTACAATACTACTTCACATCAGATCATGTCATGGGATGTGACAAATGTGTCAAATGGTGTGTGTGTATGCTATACAGCCGCTAGACTAGTGCCGGAGGCTTTGTTGGTTGTCTATGGTGTTTGTGGTTGTGTATTGTCTGTTGTGTGTTTGTGATTGCGTGTTGGTGGTTGTGCCTTTGTGGTTGTGTGCCTTTGTGGTTGTGTGCTTGTGGCTGTGTGTGTGATTGCGTGTTTGTGGTTCTGTGTTTGTTAGTTCTGTGTTGCTGGCGGGGTATTTGTGTTTGTGATTGTGTTTTGTTGGCCGTGCTTGCGGTTGTGTGTTGTTGGTTGTGCATTGTGTGTTGTTGGTTGTGTATTGTGTGTTGTGTGTGTGTTGTGCATGTGTTGTGGTTCTGCGTTTGTGGTAGTGTAATGTGTAATGTATTGATTGTAGTGTGTTGTGTATGTTGTGTGTTGTGTGTGTGTGTGTTGTGGTTGTGATTTGTTGGTTGTGCAACGACGCTTGCAGTGGCAAGGAGCGAAACAGTCCACGTGACCATCCGTTGGGCTCCGGTGCTACCGAACCGAAACGGGGCGCCTTTCGGAGCCCGCGGCGCGCCACGTACCGAACGACCACGCGGTCGTGGAACGCGAACGAGCGGTGGCGCTGGTCCAGAACGCTGGATTGGATGTCAGAGTCCGTGAGGCGCTTGATATGGCCATTGCGCACCTGGCGGACATGGCTTCTACAGACCGAAGAGTTGGACGATCCGGGTCGATATAACCCTAAGAATCATTGGACCCTCCTATGGAGGGTTTTGACCCTGCATAGCAGGGGTTTGGACCCTCAAAACCTTCACTTTGAGGGTCCTTGATTCTTAGGGAAATATGTTATTTGTGGGATTATATGCTCAATGTATCTTAATGTCTGTTAATGTCCCCCCATGTCCATCTGTTTGACTACGAAGTCGCTCAAATCTCCTTCCTTCAGATCTTAGCCGTTTTTTTCCTTCAAACACCCACTGACAAGAAGTCCCGTGGTATCTTTTCCACACATTGACATATCACTATACTATATCTAAGTAAAAAGGACCTATGACTGGCTGCCAGGAGGGAGAAGTGCCATGTAAGTTGAAATCATGGGAGACAATCCAGAAATCTGAAATCAAGTTCATTGCACACGCGAGCCACATGTGGGCCGATGCGAGCTTTGAAAGGGGCAGTTTGGAAGGGAAGGTATTATAGTGGATGGATAGTTCATGGCACAACTTACCCCACATTTTGTTTGTTCATATGGACCCCAATCTAAGGGGCATCTATCTAGGTCCCAGTGGAACCTCTGAAACCTGTAACACGCCATGACTTCCCTTAAAGCTAAGAGGACCTTCTGGCCCGCTGGACATTGCCCGCCAGCGTGGTTTCGACAGTGAACTTCCCGGCTTTTGCTAGCGTGCTGCCCAACCGCCGCAACGGTTTGTCCTTTGAAGATTGACCAAAAAAGCCGCGGTTTCGGGCGTGGACCCACCCGTTTTCGAAGCAAGCAAACGCAACACACACCGCACCAGATCTTTGGATCCATGTCAGCGGCTTTTGAGGAACTTCCTGTGGTCCCGTGCCGGAGTGTACCTCTTAAGGCTTGGTGTTTGGGTGTCTTTCAGGTACCCTGACATTCATGGACGCGGTCAGCAGACTTTCTACCCTTGGCTACCACTACCCAGACACTCCTCTATGATCCTGGGTCAATTTTTCTATGGTTAACACTATTATAGTGTGGGGTTCCGACTTGTATTTCGTTATAGTTATATTTATTTCTTTACATTGATTCTGACCCCTCTAACCACCCCAATGTACGTAAAGATCATACATGGATCGGAGTGATTGCCTAATGTGATTCTGTGTTCGCGTTCCTTGGCAATTACCCTCCCTGCAAGAAGTGGACGTCCTGGGCCCCTAGAAAGACCATGTTCCTCTACAAACAGGGGGTTGTCCACTTCCGTGATTATTTCAGGTGCTCAGATCTTATCTGGCAATTGCTCAGATCCAGCCGTCGACATGGAAGACGCACCTTCTTGTCCCAGATCTGAAGAGGCTTGCTGCCGATGGAGTAGAGAATGGACAGGAATCCAGACTGGTAGGTATTTTTGAACCTCATCGGTCGAAAGAGCGTTCGCACCAAGCATCTGAAGCTCACTCACGCATGGGATCGCTAGTCAACGTGTCAGGGATCTAAGACTAGTAAATGCCAGGTTTGGGGTGTGAAAACGCGAGGCCTGCATTGGCTCATTTCTGGTCCCTGTCGAGGAGCAGGCTGGGGAGTGGTCGAACCCGCGGACATTTTGGAAGAGGTCTCAGAATGAGGGGTTCCACTACAATACGGGTATACTGTATACTCATGTATACTCTAATATCTGATCTAATAATGAACCTGCCCGAATGGAGACCGCCCCTGGGCATCAGCGAAGCAACGCTCCTCCAAATTTTCTCCGAAAGATTACACAATACATATACAAATATATTATGGGTTGTGAATGGTTATGAGGTCTACTGTCTGCAGTACCTAGTCTAAGACGCACTCACACAGCTGAACATTCAGTCCCATCCGCCCGACCACGGGCCACCCAGGCTGGGTTCCCTTGCATGTTTCCTCGCGCCAGTCTCTTCCCGTGGTTTTCTTACTCGCACCGCGTTTCTGGGCCTCGGTCCTCTTGAGCCAAGATCCAAAGAGGCGGTCGAAATAGGGAGGTCCCCGACGGAGTGACCGTGACTGAGAGGTTGGACCACCTTGTCTCGCATCACGTGCTTGGGTGCTTTGGTTCAACACAGTCTTTCGCAGGTCTACCTGAGTCTGGTGATGAACATCAATGAAATCATGCCGTTCCTCCTTGGCATCGTGTATAGTTCTTTGTTGGAACATGTTGGAAGCCAACTGCCAGAGCTTGGTTTCTGCAGCCGCATGGCCCAGCATGGCAGTCAATCTAGTTGCTTCACGTGGGGGTTGAACCAGGTCAAAGCATCCGAGAACCAATGGCAGCCTCTGCCTTCCTCACCATGGACCGTGAAAATGGACCCCTGGCACAGACTCTTCTCCACGACTTTTCAGGGTCCATCTTCCACGAGGGGTCGGGTCACCGGCGAACTCCAGGTCACGCACGTCGCCTCGAATCCGCGCGGCAGACGCCGCGGAAAATTGGAAGTGGAGGTCCTGCCAGCTCGAGGCCTCCAACTGAGGTCGTTGACAGTTGATCTTTCGGAGATGGTGATCATCTAGCATCCACTTGGGGGGGTGGTTTCATCAGTCAACATGATAGACATTGATAGACTGATTTCATAGTGGATGACTTAGTGGATGATATGCTGACCCCTTAAGCCCTTTTTCGAGTCGTCTTGGGCAAATCCACCCCACCAACCATGAACTGGTGGGATCCTTCGACTGCTTTTTCTACGGATCTGATCGGTGAGAAACACGTGTTTTGCTTCTGCATTCGAAGGACCAAGCTGGCAAAGGTGGGACCACGTTTCGAACTCATCACTGAAGCTGAGGTGCTACACATTTTTGGCATGGCACCGCCATGCAGCCAGGCAAGCTGGGTGTGGGTACGCGTGAGTTTGTAGCTACTAAAGAAGGAATTGACTAAGACTAAGCCATACACTTGACTTTGGTTCTGTGGTTTGGATCCATACCTCTGAAGGGTAGTCCACAGTCGAAGCAAGGAGGCGACATGTCTGTGGTAGGTAAACATTATTTGACACGGTCACACGGTTATGTAAAAACAAAATAACGATTCAGGGCAATCCCTCCTGGCCAAATCTGTTCGACTCAGAGGCTTTGCCATCTACACCTGACACTGTAGACATTCCAGCAGAGCCACAGAAATTTGTGTGCCATGAACATTTCTATAGCAGTAAAACAGGTTTAGATCAGGATTGTCTGTGGTACCTGGTTCTTCATCAAAAAGAACAGCCATCGCAAGACTGGTTTTATGTCACCATTCCAACCCCCTTCACCCCCGACTTCAATGTTGTCGCGTGAAGTTCGGCATCAGCAGCCTTCAGAAAATCCAATCCATAACATTGACATAACATAGGGGGATATGCGGGATTCAAGAGTCCTTCTGACCCTTGACTTGATGGCTGTGTTTTGGAAGAACCCGCTATTTGCATCAGAAAAAACATATCTAAGATCATTCAAAATCCATCAACAAACCAAATCGGGCTTGCCAGGCCGTACTTTCAAACGCTGCCGCAGCCTAACCAGCAGCCTAACCTCAGTCCCTACGAATCCACCCTCTGAGCTTTCGTGGAATTTGGATCGTTTTGGATGGTTGACTGATCTTTCGCCTGGTCCTCGGAGGTGGTGGGACGTCCTGCTTGAAGCGACAACAAGCAACGCCACACGCCACCGGCTCCTCAACATTTGTGAGGTCCAACGAAGCATCTGAGCAGGGGGCCAACTGACAGTCGGGTCGATGTTTCGGAACGACGGACGCCGACGAAATCGACGAACACCATGAAGATCCGTCGTCAGTTTCCGGAAGCTTCTTCTCCCAATCGAACAAAATACACCTACCTTTTGAAAGCTTGCACCTCTGGTGAATAGTCTATTGTTTAAGTATAGGCTGGTGTCATGAGCTTGGTTCGAGGGAGTCTTGCGAGTTTCTTGCGGAAAGAAACCCGCAAGAAACTGGGAGCTTGATTATCATAATGGTTGTAAAATGAATCGGCATAATTAAGTTGGGTCCCAGCCAAAATAGACAAACATTCATGTGACACAAATCTTTGCCTGGCAATCCGACTTAGAGTCGAAACACGATTGCCTGGCACCTGATGTCGCTGATTTTCTTCTTCACCCGGTCCGCCAAGTTCTTCTTCTTCTTCTCACCCAGCGAGCGCTTAGACCGTTTGAACGTCTCCCCGCTGCGTTTCGGCGGCCTTCCCGGTGCTTGGAGCCGCCTTTTATATACCGAAGTCCTTCACCCCATTTGAGGCGGTTTGTTCATAGCCCCACAAGCAGGTTTAAGATGATTTAAGGGATGTCCATTGACCATCCAACCCTTGTACTCGGTGGTTGGTGTCGCATGATCGTTTGAACGGTGTGCTGTGTGTGTCCGCTTTCAGTTTCTCTCGGCACAACGACCGAGCTTCCGCACTCTGCAGCACGAGCGAGAGAAACAGGTCCTCGATCCAAGGTACTGGCGCCTAGCGGAGTGCGAAGCAGGACATCGAGCGAGTTGCCCCGGAATGAAACCCTAACCCGAAATGCTCGAGCGGCAGGAAGTAGGAGTACTCGGAACGAAGAAGGAGGATCAGGGATCATAGAACTCTAGTACCATACAAGTGAAGCTCCGGGACACCTCCCGACTCACTCTCAGTATCTGGTTTCTGCTCCTCCATCTCAGGACATAGCTATGCTTTTCTAGTCTCACTCGGCGGCGGGGCGAATGCTCTGTTCGGCCACCCGAAACGCTCCTTGTCCGGCCGGTCTGGGCGTTACGGACTGATCTGTCCGGTCTTTCCGAAAGCTACTTCGACGCCTTCCACGTGCCGGTGGGCACCCGGGGATGTAGCTTGAGGTCACGTTGAAGGAAGCGGAGCACCTGAGGCGGAGCACCGTAGACGCGGATGTCCTCTCCGACCACGAGAGTGTTCAGTGCGATTTCCCTAAGGCTCCTGGCCCACCTCCTCAGGTGAAGGTGGTTGAGGTGGGTGACTGGGGGTCTAACCACCGAACATGAGGACGTGGGCCAGGAGCCCTAGGGTTTATTGCCCTTGAGGGCATGTCTTTGTCAGGTTTGGGGGGTCCATCCACGGCTTTTCATCCATGCCGCTGGTCCAACCAATGGTCTGGTCACCACTGCAGTGCCCAAGTCTCAAGACTGGGGGCATCTCACTGGTATAAGACATGCGATGTTTATACAGATTGGAACGTGAGTCCGGAACATGTTCAGATAGAGATTCATGCAGCGGGTACATATATATACACCCACGCAGTTATACGTATCCTATCCGTTTTGAAAAAAAAAAGTTGGGTGCTACGTTTGTTTATCACATTTCAACGCGTAAATGCATTTAGATACCACTAAGGCAGGTTCTACGTTTGTGCATCAAACGGCAAACCAAGACGATATTGGTATCCCCAGCAAAAAACAAAACCAGGGCCACAAAACGATTAAACATAGAACTTTTCGAGGTCGAGGGCTCTGGGGTCTGGAAGTTCTACGTTTAATTGGTGTGTGCTCGTGTTTTGGAGAGTTTCCCGGGAAATCTGATTTTGCTGCTGGCTGCAGAGTTTGGGCTTGAGAAGAGACCCACGCTTGTTCCTTGAGAAGGGACCCGAGTCATGGAGGAAGGCGTGAAAGCTCTAGAAGAGCTGAAGGCCTCGCTTCAGGGGAGGGCGCTTGCAGAGAACACAGATGAGACCATGAAGACAGATGAGAACAATGGCACACAAGAACATGAAGATGAGGACAGATCCACTCCTTTCATGTTCCAGTGCAACTAGCCGGTTTTTCATTCTTATGGACGGAGTCAAGATCTTTTCACACCAACGCTCATTGCCAGGTGCCACGTTAATTTGATTAATTTGCTACATGCCTTCATGAAATCACAGGACGCGTTGGACAAGTTCATGGAGACATTTGTGCTGGCAAGTGCAGCGGGTTCAGAGCAAGAGAAACCGCAACCACCGGCCACTTGCTTCGGACAGAGTTTGATGGCTTTTCCTGATGCCCAAGTGCTTAGGAGTTGGCAACCTCACTCTTTCGGTTTTCTAGTTGGGGAAACAGCAACACACACAGTGACCCAGCGTTTGGATTTCAGGTTGAGCAATGTCCGTGGGTCAGCACATGGTACTACTTTTCACAAACCTAGAACCCCTCCCCACCAGAGTCAGAGGGTTTGGTTTTAACATATTCGATCACTTCTTTCTTCACTGAAGTACTGGTCTATCTAGTCTTCACAAACATAGAAAATCTCTCCAGGAATTTGTTGGTTGAAGTTGGAGCCACAATTCTTTGTTTGGTTCAATCCAAACATAGAACCTCACTCCACCAGTTTGTCTGACTCAGGAAAGAAGACACACGTTCAAGTCGCCTCCTTCAAAGCAGAAGAGGGCACCTTGTACAGGCATAGGCTACTTGGAAAACGGAGAACCAT